TGCTCTTTTATTTCCTGTTCTGCGAATACATAGCACTTTTAAACTTGACTATATTCCAAACTAGCCAGTTACTGGCCTCCCGTCGAGTCGACTGTCTATTTTCTCCACGGTTGGACCCTCGCGTTTTGTCTGTTCATCCGTTTATTGTGTTCCAAACCACCGGTCAATAATCGACTTCTCAAACTGGATCACCACCGGCTCACGGGACGCCGCTGTGATCACCACATCCTAGTTCTTTGTACCTATGGATCTGGTCCTCTGTTTGACTCATTTCCCACCCCCCTGAAACATGTCTATATATACGCTAGTCAATTATTTGAATAGTATTGAGATAATGTAAAAATTGCTATCTCTGCTCTGTGTTGGTTGTTCGTCATGTATAATTGAAGGTGGAATGCACCAGAACAAAGACTTATCACGGTTTTTCCCCACCTACGAAAACGGTATTGTCATCCTAACAGATAAGTAGTAGATTTCAAAGTTTGCGAAACATTTGTTCAGGCCAAAAGGTATAGTGAGTGGACTGTCATAATTTTCATGATAATGAATGCGCGAGGTTTTTTTATTACAAAGTGGTGGACCCCAGAACTCAAAAGTGTAATATATAATGGGTGGAGGATAAAGGGAACATAAAGATAGAACCCGCGCGACTATTCTACGTTTGAAGATAAGAATGTTGTAAGTTGAAGTGTAGGACGAAAGTAGGAGTGTTCCACCGGTGTGCTTTTCTCGGGAAGACAGATGATTGGAAGTTAGAACTGTGACATCTGGGAATAGTCACTTGGAATGGGTGTCTAGCTGTCTAGCGTAAGAGACCCAAGGAGGGAGAACAAGTAGGAGAGGGACGGACGTGACAGGTTCAGTAGAACGAAAACCAAAATAGTATCGATACAATAGGGATAAGAAATCAACTGCTCGACTGCGAGCTAGTTGCTGCAAGTTACATTTCAGGGTTGGGGTCGTTGATGAGACGAATGGGGCCTTACGTTGAACTCGACCAAAAAGAGATATTGTAGTGGATGAGGGGAGTTTCTCTCCCGTCAATAGCGGTGCTTGGAGAGGAATAGGACAAAAAGTATAGAGTAGCGTCATCGGTCAAAGNAAAGTCATCATTTCACGTCGGATAAAATGAGGGAGAAAGTTTAGAACCTTGAAGATCGCAGTCACGGAATGATACACGGTCCCATCTACTAAAACGGTGGGGCTACGGCCCTTGCTCACCGGGCACGATCGAAAACGTAAGGTATATCCGGTGACACCATATTGATTCCGTCGTGGTTATCAAGTGCTGCGGACCATGTGCGACCGGAATGCCCGATCACCGATAGGTCGAAGGTTCTCGGAGATCGTGCTGATGGCCTCTCAGCCTATTCTGTCCAGGTGACGGCGTGGTTGATCAGCAGCTACTAAGTTTATCACCTTCGAGATAGGTGATATGAGAGAGAGAGAGTGAGTGAGAAGGGTGCGGTAGTTATTGCGGTCGCTGCGTTTGGGAACGGGAACTATTTCTGATGTTTTCATGGGGTCGTAGGCAACGCCCCGGTTTGGTGGGATTGAGAGAATAAGCCTCGTAGGTTGGACGTTAGTCCTGGGATGCACATTTTGAGGACGATGGAAGGAATTCTGACGGGCCCAGGTGACTTGCATAGATCCAGTATTTGGGGGGATCTGACGCATCTTTCTGGCGGAAATGAGTGGCGAGAAACGATATTTGCTTGAAGGTATAAGAACGATTTGGATGGATGATTGGGCTAGGGTAGAGTTGTAAGCAAGGTATGAACTAAGCTTCGACAATGTTTGCCGATAAAATATAGCAAATCGAGTGAGGCATGGTATGCAGTGCAGAAGTAGCGATTTAAAGAAAGGAACCATAGTTTCAGCAACAGTTTGGAACTCGTGGTTGTTGAGATTTAAGTGGACGAATCAATTAAATCATGGATGAATGCACAAACAACACCGGTTTTGGGAATGAATGAATTGTGAAGAGAATAATTGGGAAACTGAAGATGGGTGGTGTATGCAGTAGAAGAAAGTTGTGTTTCGGCTAAGAAAATAGAGCAAATGGACTGAACAAATTGATGTACAGAATTAATACTCCTGTTCCAGCCGTTAATGTTAGTTAGCAAATGCGATTGTTGAGTGAGGTGATGCATGAGTAGTAATCCTGTTTGTTACACTGTTCGAAACGAGTTGAGAGAGACGTTCCTGGGAGCTTGGAACTTAACAAGTCACGGAAGACTCTATGGACTCGGACTACAGCCGAGCCGTTTACATTCACTGTGACACAGGGTCACATGATCATCTGGTACATAATAAAGAACAATCAAGTCTCTCTCTACACGGATCATCTCTGGGGTTGGCTGGGTCACAGACTTTTAGCTCCTACCTTGGTCATAGCTGCTGCAGAAACCCACGAATGCGTTCTGTACCGGGTGGTATATACACATTTGGAATTTTAAGAAATTCTTCTCTTCGGCCGTCGCATCGATGCATCCCGAACCACCTGTACGATCCTCACGGTGGATTGAATGGAATATTAGTCACTTCAGGAATATGCAACACATCTTTCCTGTGAAAAACTGATTCGGCTCCCAAACTACTATTTATTGGCGATCCATCATTGTGCTATTTGGGATTCGATATATGCTGTGCACACTAGAAGTTTGCCATGCAGTCAGATTGTTTGTATTGTCTACCTCTCATTTGATGCTATCAACCACATAAAGTTCTGAGTAAACATTAAGCAAGGCACTCAACCGGGGCCGGGAGGGGAGAAGCAAAGCTGCGTTGGCGGCAAGGAACTATTAACCCTAAACTGCTGTGAATGCTACCAGACGCGTCCCCGGGTTGTGAATAGGAGTACACCTTCACAGAAGAAGGTTAACTGTGAATATGTTGTGGCATACGGCAACAAACAAGCAGTCGCGAATAAACAGCGGCGGCACTACCAGGGTGTGATGGGTTTCAGGCTGGTCACCTGGCTCATGTTTAAAAGCCGCATAAGCCCAATAACAAAGGTCGACGTGACTGGCCTTTTAAAACTAAAGTCATTAACCCCCTCACTTCCGAGGTGAGGGATTAATTCCTGCTTACCTTGCAGTTTGCACTTGGTTGTGCACATCCCTGATAACAAAGTCTTCAACCAGTAAGTTTAATGCTATCTAATGAAGTGAGTCCCGTAGTCGAGTTTTGCATGCTGTCCGTTGTGACACTTTCTAGAGGTAAGATCATCACACAAATGTCAGTTTCACTGGGCAGCGATATTAATTTCATTCAACGGTGCCTTTTTCGCGGGCTACTACGTTCATCCTCGTCTAGCCCACCGACCACACGACCAACAGCGCACTGGTACCCCAATGATCTGCTATCACTTTAGATTTATCCACTCAGAAC